AGCAAGTACACTCTTATCGACTATCGTCTCCGATACGACACTATCATAATACTGTGATTATGCTTACAGTTTTAAAAATATGTAAGTCATTCAACTATAAATAATTTTTTGAGTAGGTACTAAGGAGGTAAAAAAACGATGTGCCTAGTTATCCAGGTGATCGTATACCAAATGGTAGGTAATGGAGACACAAAACGGCAGGTCGCCAGGTATTAGGCACTCGATCGCTTCGCTCGCTCGGTGCCGTCGCTTCGCTCCGCTAAACTAAAAATATCCTAGGTTTGCAGGCTTCAGTCTAGGAGGAGGTCACAGGTTTAAATTTAAGTAAATCTTGGTATTAATATCTACAAGATATTACGGCAAAAAAAAAAAAGGACCAAGACGGGCGAGAGACGTCCTCGCGTCGGCCGTTACCGTTATAATATAGTGATGTGCACACGTGAAAATCGCCTTAAGTTTTTTACGAATAACTCAATAGTTAATTAAGCTAGAGCAATTCTGATTTTACCAAAAACTTCAAAATTAAAAAACGAATATAATGAAGATAAAAAATATTTAAAAATGTTGATTTTTAAAAAAGTTATAGGGTTTTTAAAAAAAGAAAATGAAGTTTTTGCTTATAACTTCAAAAGTAAGTCCGACCCCCAAAATCTGACTTCACCATAATTTTTATCGTAAAAAAGTACATATATTCCAAAAAAAAAAAAATTGAAAAAAGCGTGTGGGAACTAAACTGCACTTATACCAAATTATCTCTTGAATCACCATCAGAATCAATATCTAAAAGTGATACTATATCGACGTCATTTAAATTAGCCATTTTAAAATTATTTCAAATTTAATTTGAAAATCAAACTTTTATAATCACAAAAAAATTCATACGCACTTGGTATCATGGAGTAATGTGAGACCCCATCACTGCGATAACACGGGTTACCATATTACACTATCATAACCTATAAAATGTTTTTGCTGTATACCGAAGTGAGATATATTTTATCCGAGAGGACTAGTACAGTAGAGTACAGGCGTAATGGAATCAAAGAAACGAAGAGACGATGAGGTCACAGGTCTACAGAAATTATTATAAATAAAAGTGATAAAATTGAATAAAATCACTTTCAAATAAACGCTTTGATGCTAATTTCTAAATACATTACCTCAATTTAATACTTTCTAACTTTGCTGGTTTATACTGGCTTGAAAATACTAACTACCGATTTGCATCAAAGCGTTTTTTTGAAAGTGATTTTATCACTTTCAGATTTAAAAATTCCTGTAAACCTGTGACCTCCTCCTCACCACTATGCCCCGACTCCACTGTACTGGTTTTTTTTTGCAAAAACAGTGGACCAAATAAGACATAAACAATGTCTTGTTAAATTTAGTTGGAATGGTCGACGATATATGTTTTAATCGTTAGTACTCCATAGTTTAAATTATAGTCGCTTATTCTCAATAAAATTAATATTTATGTATTATATACTTCCATTAGAGCAATCTCACACTAACTATTTATACTTCGTAGATTATATTGTTTCAAAGCTCTATTATACTTCTATTTTACTAGATTGACAATGTACAAAACAAAATGCAACTAAATAATGTTTATGTAATTGGAATTGCATGATTTTGCAATACTGTGTGAATTAATTTTGATCCTTCAAGGGAATCTTGAATTTTTTAATGATCTGTTAACTGTGTACATTCGTTTTGGAAAAAAAATAGTTAAATAAAATAAAAATAATAAAAAGTAAATGTATATGGAAAAATCAATTTGGATTTTTGCCATAAAGGTTACGAAATATATCATTTTTAAGGCTATTTGAGAAGTACAAAAAGAAAAAAATAAATAAATCTTTAAAGACTAGGAAAATGTATGACAGAGTGACTAGATATTAATCAACAACACGAATATACGAATGATATATTCTACTGTTGAATATATCATTGTGTACACACAATACATTATACAATGAATAATTAATAGTTTAATTTTAGAGTATTTAATGTAGTAGCTTGTGTGATTGCAGCAATAACTTACGCCCTTCGTTAGGGTATTTTTTTATTCTTAAAATCTCTTAGCTGATAAATCCATTGCTTAAGCCAATTTCAAATATTTCTCACCGTTAGACACAAATAAGCATTCATAAAGCGATACGTTTCGGTGAATCGCCAACCTTATTATTACTTAATTTTTTCATCTAAACTGTTTGTAAACAAATGTTATTTTCAATAGTATTTTTTTTTATACTTAATATAGATTTTTGTTTTTTTATAATTTTATTCTGTTTTTTAATACTTTTTAATAAAAGCATATAATAACTATATGCCTTTATTGCATATTTTAACATTTTCGAATTCATATGGGAGTGAGTTTATGTTCGTTAATAAAACAAATAATGAAATTACAAACTAAAGTGTGTACGAGTAATACATTTATTTAATAATAATAATAATAAGTTTATTTTGCCAATATAAAATTTTCGGTACAACAAAAAGTAATATAGTACAAAATAAGAATAAATTATATTGACTAACTTCTAAAAAGCTAAAAGCTTGTGCTAAGAAGTGAGAGTTTCTTATAACATTAAAATATATAAACGAAATGACTTAAAATTTAATAAACAACAATATAGTCTTATTAAAGAGAGAAGAAAAAAAAAGAAAAGGAAAAACTTATAAATCATAATTAAGTGTAACATAATCAAACTGGTTAAGCTTAATATATAATTTTAAAGGAATGTAAAACTAAACGCTAAAAAATTGAAGTACCCCCCTAACATTAAAAGAAGAGATGAAACAAACATCACCCGAGCTAAAATAGGCCACTCTCACCTAACCCATGCACACCTTATCAACAAGGAACCAGCACCAGTATGCGACACTTGCAAGCAAATATTATCGATAGAACACATAATCATCAACTGCCCCAAGTATAGAGAAGCACGAAAAAAACCCAACAATCCTCTCACACTTCACCAAGCATTCAAAGAAGAAAACACCACTGAAATCATCAAATTTTTTCACAATGTAAATATAAGCCATAAACTATAAATATCATGTTATTCTAATTCCTAAACTTATTGTACATTAACTTCTAGGCTAATAATCATGTAATTAAAGTCTTAACCATTAATAAAAAAAAAAAAAAATTTAAAGAGTTAATATTATTGAAGTTAAAAGGATTTAAATTTAATTTATGACTCAACAATGTACATTTGTAAATAGGACACTGAGAGGTTACAGTCTTATAGTATTTAATAGATTTAAGATTAGAAAGACATTTATTTCTAGTATTATAATTATGCTCTGTGGTATTCAAACAATGTCTATATTTATGTACAAGTAAAACAAAGATTTATAATATAACATGGATATACGTTGTACGTTAAAGTCAATGTATAACTGATTTGTTGGATATAGTTACGGCTTCGAGATAATAACTTTTATTAAACTATTAATAGTTGTATTTAAAAGAGTCAAATAATATTTATAGGTACCACCCCAAAAGGGCAATCCATAGTAAACTTAAGATTGAACTAATGACATATAAATAATTCTCAAGTGTTTAATATCTAAAATATATTTTAAGCTTTTAAAGTTATAAAATAATTTCCTGACAGTATTAACCAATTTATCCACATGATAATTCCATTTTAGTTTTTCATCAAATATTAACCCTAAATATTTAATATGATTTACTCTATGAATATGTTGACAATTACAGGACACAATTTTGTTTGTACAGTTTAAGGAATGTGGACAAATGAAAAGATTATGTAAGGTAGTTGAATTTGATCTAAGATTAAATAGTATATAATTAGACTTTTTTAGGTTTAACTCTAAAAAATTATTATCATACCAACTCTGAATACTATCTAATGAAATATTCACCTCATCAAATAGAACATCAATACTTTTATTATTAAAAAGCATAACCGCATCATCAGCAAAACTATAAATATCACCTTTTATAGAAACATTAATAAAAATATACATTAAACTAAAATATTTCTAACAATAAGCATCTTATCCCGACGCTTTTCCGTTATTTGTAAAGTATTCAGGGAACGTAATTCGTATGTCTTTAGCCTTTATCTCTTGATTTTGGGTACGTTGTAAATGGGTTACATATGTTATATCAATTTGTTCGTTACGCCGTGAACCCCGAATTAATTAATTTTTTACGTGTATGTTGTTATGATTCAGTTTTGACCTTTAATAGCTCTTCATGACGCTGTTGTGTTAAGAATGCGTCGTAATTAAAGAACTATGTATAATACTCTAGTGTGGAGTAGAATATTAGAAAATAAATTACTCACTGAAAATGTATAATAATTTGCCCTGTACAATAATAACGCTAATTACACAATATGTACAAATGACCCAAATTAGTTTTATGTGGTATAAGCAAAAGCAACGGTTCTTGCTACTTTAGGCAAATGAAAATTTATACCGATTATGATTCTCTCAGTCGATACTGAGAGGAAATCGTCATGCTTAGTTTTACATTGATTGTACGGTCTACGATAATTGTGTTTTATCAAACAAAATAAAAAATAAAAATGTTTGGATTTAAATTCTGTAAAATTATTTGAGCTTATAGACCTTTTTTCCAAGTTATTGTGGAAGTCAACTTTTGAATAACTGTTGCATTTCATTAATAAAGACGTCATTATAAAACCAATAGCAGGCTTTAAAATACGAGTACTTCAATTATATGTTTTCAGGATTGCTGTTTTCAAATTTGACATCAGTATTATACTTATCGCTTACCTAAGGATCGTGGCCGGGGGCTGAGAAGTAAAGTATTAAATAATTTTCGACGATTTCCGGAGGTAATAATAAAAAGTATTATGTTTAGTTTGAGATGCAAGTCATAAACGGTATTAAAATACTCGTTATTGTTAAACCTCATGGCTAGATGCTTTTTTCGATAATTAGTCACGTATGTTTTTTTTTGGTTACATAAAGTAATGATATAAAATATGTTTTGTTTAAAAGTCTGAGAAGTCAGTTTGATCATTATCATTGCATCCGACGCCTACAATTTTTTCTTCAGAAAATGATTCAAAGTTACATGTGTCTGAAGGACTACTGTAATTCGGTCGAAACGGCGATTCCATGGTTCGGTTAAACAACGCTAACCAATCAATTGTTCTAAACCATCTGTGAAAAATATGAATTGATTATTTGGAGATAAAACAAAATACACTTAAAATAAGGTTACTCCTCTATAACTCAATCTACTACAAGTTTCTGTATTGGGGCGTCTTTAGTTTTTATTTAATAAATCTAGTTTTAAGTATTCTGCCTGTTATTAACCTCTATCGTGTCTTCGTCGACTTAATCTTCGACTCACTCATTTGAATTACATCCTTCTTCGAAGATGATATATTTTCTAAATTTCTTTCTGACTTAAATGTTTTATGGCTTGGTGGTTTATCGAAAACCTTCGTCATGCAAACCTAACCTAGCCTTATAGTGATAAGAAATAGCTTATCAGAGACAACTTTAATGACTCTTGATATGAAATAGATGATAAAGAATTTGTGATAAAATTTGCTGGTAGGTAGAGGATTGTAGATATAGTGAGGGGAGAAAAAGATATTGCAGTTAAAGGGAGGAGAGGAAAATTACTATACAGTTTATCTGTTATTTTATTGTTCCTTCTTAGAGGTACCCGTACCATCAGACATATTCACGAACTGATGTATTTCTTCAAGAGAAAAACTACATTTTTTCATCGCGTAATGAAACACCCATCTCATTCTTCTCTTTTCATATTATCATTTTCACTATTTATTATCTCAAACTACTGATATAAAAATATCCAATTTAGTTATCTATTTAGTTTGTCTATTTAAGTCCACGCACATCAATCTGGACATTGACATATTATCCTATGATTTTTATAACTATACAATTATAATTTATATCATATATTGTGATATTATATACTAAATATTTAGTTTAGAACATCGGACACTCAACAATTATGTACAATTTGCATTTTATCTGAAACAAAATTCAAATAACAGGTTAACTTTTTTTGGTTACACAATATATTCTGTTTCTTCTTCTACATTAACTTCTCATACTTAATTTTGTTTAACGTAATCACTTCAGCCGCCCATTTCATTTGATCTCTCGTATTGCATGTATACCTAACTCTTGTAGTCTTCACGTCTGTCACGTCTACTTAAACTCTACTATTCTCTTGCGTGACTATGACTGTTACTAAGTACTAAAATTGTTTTATTCTATTTACCGCTTGCTCTCCAAATATACCCGGTTCTTCTGGATACTTTTAAAGTCTCCTCATTACTACTTAACTCGAACATTATGTTATTCTGTTTTAGGCTTACTACGTATTATCTAATAATTTTTCTCCAGCGCCGTCTTCCATCATCACTTCTAACTTTTCGATACTCTTGTCCACAAAAACTACATTATCTATAAACAATAGACTTATAATACTACAAATAGTCCAAGTCTATAAACCTCATAGTCAATTTTTTATTTTTCTAGATTCTCGTTATAATTAATTTACTCCTACAACAAAACATTAACTCAACTTTTGATCTTCCTGTCCTATTTTCCGATCTATCAATTTTTAACTTTTTCCCCAGCACAAGGAGAACACAACTAACATAAGTCTTAGTCGTTTTAAGTCTCGTGGTGAGCGCGGTGCTCACCTGATTTCCATTTTAGCCACCACTTATTCAATTTTTTTGTAACCCTCGATATCTCTTATGCATGTCAATATATCTGGGAATTTTTTTAAAAATTTGGTTAATCTTATTAGCTCCAAAAAGCGAGTGTCACATACACACTATACGAGCCTGTTCGTGCATGTTTGTTTAATATTTTGCCCCAGTATGTCCATTATTTTGTTTTTAAAAAGACTTAGCCTGATGCGTTGGCATAAGCCATAAGGTATGTGATATTGAGGATTTACAAATATAACTGAACGATGACGGAGTGATATTTATACAAAATTTTGTACGAAAAAAAATTATTTTTATAACCACATCAGGGCTATCATGTTTCGTTTTTTTTTTTGATAAAACAGAAACAAAAATTGGAAAGAAATTTGCATTTGTGCAGTTACCGGTGTTTTTTGATATCCTCCGTTCCGTTTTTCAAGTTTCCGTACCTCTTGGTCAGATCTACTTGTAACAAATTCTCTGTCAAATCCACGAGGTCGGACGAAAAACTGGCGGGAACCTTGTAGTGGCCGGTAGTGATTTTCTTGTACATCCGACGATCGGTGTCTGATTCGAACGGCAATCGACCAATGACCATTTCGTACGTTATCACTCCCAGCGCCCACCAGTCCACCGCTTTGCCGTAACCCTTGAGAAGAATTATCTCTGGCGCCAAATATTGTGGCGTGCCGCACATGGTGTAAGTTCGCTTGACTACACGCTTGCAAAAACCGAGATCCGTCAGTTTTATGTAGCCATTGCCGTCGATCAGTACGTTTTCCGGTTTCAGATCCCTGAAAGAGATAAATGATATAAGATTACAGATATGAGATACGTGATAAGAAATAAAAAAACAAGAGATAAGTGGTAAGCACATATGAGTATAATAAATTAGATTCCTATGTGTACATGCCGTCAATAATTATTGAAGTTACCATTTTCCGCCATATTTGTGGGAATTAGAACCTTATAGTATAGGCTGTGCGTTGATTATTTAATCAGTCAGGACTTCTTCTTTTATATATACATAGATATAATTTTATACACACATAAATCCCACAAAAAATGGCTGACGTCGACTTTAATTCTTATCACTAGTTGGCCATCTGGTTTATTATAAATATCTGTGGCCACAGCTTTTTTTCGAAGAAAGGTATAATGGTTTAGTCTCACTTGAAATTGGACATATACTTTAAGGTTCAGCATAGTAGCGTCACCCAACGTACGTGTAGCAGCAAATTCAAAAATGAATCACGGATTCCCTTTGCTCAACAATCATTTTAACACATTAATCAATCTATTCACCAACTGTTAAACACCGATCAGTCTGTGTGTATAATGATGTGAATAGCTCTACTGGAAGTGGGAAGGATTGTCTGTACAAAACCAGGGAGCTATGATATGTAAAAATGTGTATTGTGTGACGCTTAAAAAAACTAAAAAATATGAAATGCACACCCCAACAAAGCTTGTCCATCAGATCACATGAAATCTCGTTTGCACATTTAATTTTGTACGTTGGAAAATCTCGAACGAACTACAAAGTTGCAATTTTTTTTAAAAAGAACGGAAAGCACTATTCATTAAGGGTCAAAGGATAGGCAATATTTGACAAGAACTAATCTAGTAGCCATTTTTAATATGCCGACTAATTTTAAGGTGAAAATATATTAAGATTATAATACTTTTAAGTTATTTTTCTTCGAGTTATGGCAAGAGTTTTATAAAAAATGACTTTCGTAGAAGTCATTTTCTAGCGTATCTATTGGCGGATTGCAATTTGTCATTTATTTTATGTAAAGCTTATCTACTATTTTTTACTCGATTTACCGCGTTCAACAGGTTGAAAATGTAACCGCGGACATCATTTAACTAAAACTATACCATAGATATATAACAATACAAAATATAGGAATTATTAACAAACGTATTACCTGTAGAGTATATCTAACAAGTGCAGGTACTCCAACGCCAGGACCAACTGGCTGGAGTAAAATTTGGAATTGAATTCGCCCAATGACCCTTTCTGCTTTAGCAAACTGAACAAATCTCCGCCGATGGCGAACGGCATGACAAAATATAAGTTGCATTTGTCCTTGGCAAAATACACCATGTGCACAATAAACGGATGTCGTATGGCTGCCAAATAACGTTTTTCGTTCAAAACATGTTGGACGTTGTTTTTGCGCAAAACTTGTTCCTTTTTCATGATCTTTGAATAAAGACAACAATATAAAAGGAGAATTGTTTGAGCGGACTCCCACTGCAGCCTATTTATCATTTATTTATTGGGCTTTGTAACGGCCTAAAAAGCCTAATAGTTAGTATAACAAAAATACAAACTAGAATTAAAAATTATCATGCAAAAATAAAATGACAACCATGCAATAAAATCGCTATAGTTTTAAGCAAGAATAAAATCATACAATAAACGGTTGAATATGAACAAAATCGTCTGTAAATGAATTACATTGTAGTTATGTTTTATTCAAAGTAACTTTAAAAAAAAAATGATCGACTAAAAAAATTGCTTCTATTGAAATATTTATGTAATTGGAATTGCATGATTTTGCAATACTGTGTAAATTAATTTTGATCCTTTAAGGGAATCTTGTACATATTTTTAATGATCTGTAACTGTGTACATTCGTTTTGGAGAAAAATAGTTAAACAAAATAAAAATAATAAAAAGTGATTGTATATGGAAAAATCAATTTGGATTTTTGCCATAAAGGTTACGAAATATATCATTTTTAAGGCTATTATTTGAGAAGTACAAAAAGAAAAAAAACAGAAATCTTTAAAGACTAGGAAAATGTATGACAAATCAATAACACGAATATACGAATGATATATATGAACTGTATTCAACAGTATGTGTACCTACACACAATGAATAATTAATAGTTTAATTTTAGAGTATTTAATGTAGTAGCTTGTGTGATTTTCTAGCTAAATTGCATTGCGTGATGTCTACAAGGAACCATTTTTTTACAAAAAAAGAGCTGTACTTGTATTTCCAATTTCTGGGAAATTGATTCCTAAGTGGTGATTCACTTTAAGCATCAGGGTCCTCCTTTTCAGTTTTAACCAAACTATTATTCCATTAATGTCCAGTCTGTTTCAAGAAATAATGTTCAAATTCCATTTTAGAATAATTTAAAGTCTTAAACTCGATAAATTTGTAGCTGGCCGTAGTCTTGGCGCCAAACTTATTAATTTTTCGCCAAGATAGGTAAATATAATATCTGTTTTTTTTATTAGACTCTTCTAACAGTCTTATGTCGAATTCAACATATATCAAACATTAGTGGAATAGAGTCCGCTCTTTTTTGTATTTAAATTGTATAATATTGTATTGTAACGTAGTCTTGTCATCAATAAGCGGTGCCGGGAACACAGGGGAAGAAATACTTTAAGGTGACTCCCCTTGTGTTCTTATGGACTTGTAATAAAAAAAAAAAAGGCATCTGAACAGGATAAATTCGTGTTGTTGGTATACACATATTATCTAACAATATAAAAGAATGTTTTAACGACTGTTTATGACTGAAAGTCAAGTCAGCTGAATATTCACCTTGATCACTCACTTTCATTGCCAAAAACGTCTTCGGGTCTGATTTATGATTTACTAGTATCACGCGACCAAAAGCGCCCTTCCCGATGGTTTTAATTAAGTTAAAATCGTCAAACTTGGACTCAATAATTTTTTCGTTTTCTAGACGGTTTTTAAATAATTTCGTTGCACACTCTAAATACTCCGAAACACTTGTTTGTGAACATTTTTCGTCATATTCCGTCATAATGTAAAACTTCTTTTTTTGAGTACCTCAATAAAAAATTGCAAATAAAAAAAAATAAAAACAACATAAAACCTTATGTATAATTAAAAAAGACGATATTATTGTTTTCGAGTCGATACATAGTTTGTTTTTTAGATACGTAAAACTACCTGTGGTTGTTTGGCCAGTATTTATTTGAAATCATATTCAGCAAATACCAAATCACAACAAATTATATTATGTGTACTGCGAAAAGATTGAGATAGATGCGAATAGAAATATTTTACGCATTCCTAGAGATTCGGCCCATATGTATGCTGAAAATAATGTTTCTTCCACCAAATTTCGCGAAATTGCATCATCATCTGTGGCTAGTTAGAATATTTTACTATTAGAATCACAATCATAAAGAAAACTAGTAAAGTCGAAAGAAATTATGACTATCTAAAAATCATTCTTCGCAACCTTAAAATTCGCTATTTAAAATTAACCAGTACAAAATCAATGCTTCCGAGTAGTATGAAAATGTTTTTTGTTGATTATTGACATAACACGGACTAAAGTAATTATATTGTATTGATATTTATGTTTTATAGTTGTAATTTTCAGTTATTTCCAAAATTTAAAACATTACTGTCTAAAAACAATTCTTTGATTAATTCGGGTATAATTAAGATGATAAAAAATAGCGTGACATAATCTGTAGAGTAATCGGATTTTTATAAATTTTTTTTTTTTGTTGGTTAGACAAGTTTTAATTTAATTACCAAAAGTATACATGAACATTATACATAATACAATACTATAATAATATTTTATAATATCGATAAAATAAAATACACTTACAGTAAACAAAGATTTTAGGAATCTGGTTTGTAAAACAAATACTTTAAAGTTGTCTACACAATTTCGGGTACTAATACAATTTTAGCATTTTGATATAAGAAGTTTTTTTTTAAAAGTATATATTAACATTTAATTATAAACTCTTCATATTTAATTAAATATTTTAGTTTCCCCTTTTATTTGGTGAATACATTATTATTTTTTATTCAAACCCTTTTGGTCCTTGTCCCCTATATTTGTTGTTTCGTTGGACTAGTTGAATGTAAACATATGTACTTTGCGTATAACGCAGCATTGTAGTAAGGAGTTGAAATTAAGTATTTTGTATAACATTGTAAAAAGCTCTTAAAAACTTTCTTAACTGTGCTATTGTAATGTATTTGAAAAATTGATAATCTATGAAAATTTGATGAAATACTAATAAATCACGGAGTTGAGTAAATGTGAGTACTGTCCAAGTCCTCGGCTTTAACAAACCTAAATTATGCATCTAAATTATCTAAAGGGAATGCCATCGACACCGGATATAATCAAATGACAAAAACCAATGTTGATAAATAAAAAATAAAATGCAATATTTAATGAAATAAAAAGACATTTATTTGGTTTCTTTGGCGATGGTTTCATTCAAACTCGGCATTTGTATTGCTGTCTCCGTTCTCGCCTATATTCGTTAAATATGAATGTATACAGCTCTGAAAAGGTAAAAATATTGAAAATAATTTTCGTACTACTTACAATTAATAATACATTCATTTTTTATTCTTACTTTCATACATGTAACGCGTTCTTGAAAGCATCCACTGAAATTTTACAATTTTTTTTTTAATAGTGTTGATTTTAACTTTTTATGTAGAACTCCAAAACCTACCTGTGGGTCCATTGTGATTTTTTTAATTTTTTTAATAATCGTTCGTTGTCGGCCTTTGTCGTAGCAAGTTGTTTTTCAATGTTTTGTTTTTCCCTCACGGTAGACACTAACAGATCCTTGATGTCGGCCAATTCGGCTGCCACTGCAGAACCTTAAATTTGATGTGGCGAAGTCAGTAACTTTAAAATATTAACGGGACAGCTCCAATATTCCCCAGTAGTAAGTATCGAGTGTTTTACTTGTCTTAACAAAATCTTCATCTTTTTTTATCAATACTCCTTCCATTATGGCGAACAAGTGAACGATGTCTTGTTTACTACTCATCGCACTTCGCTGCCACGACGGCAGATCTTTAGTGGCGATGTCTATTAAACTTTTATACCTAAACAAAACAATATATGATTTTAATGAAATGCGCAATCAAAACAAACGTTCGCACGAGACCAGAATGAAGTCTCTTACTCTGATAATTGCCTACTTTTGAAAGTGTTCTACGCTGTTTTCGACGATTTTGTGATGCAAGAACGACAGTTCTTGGAACGTCAACGACCCGAAACCGGTGGCGGCTATTTTACTCAGCAACACCTTAACGTTAGCGCGGCGCACTACATTGGTTTTGCCGTTATGGATCTTGGCCAGCACGTCAGGAACTACATTTGTCAGTAGATCGCCCAAAGCTGCCGTCGGATCGTTTGCGCCCTGGTCGATTGACATCTTTTTCTCGTATCTGATGGTCGGCGGAGGTTTTTCGCACTTGCCTTTCTCGTGTCTTTTGCCTCGTTTAGCCGGACGACACTTTTCGACTTTATCTTTAGCCGTGACCGTGTCAGAGTCGTTGGCCGCGCATAGCTCACCGCCGGACTTGCGAACGACTTGGGACGATCTAGCGGTTTTCTCCATCTCTTCGGCAACGTGTGCTGAACAAATATCCAGACAAACTTGTTTGGTTTCAGCTAGCAACTTTGCGGTGAAATCGGCCACGTCCGTTTCGGGTTTTGGCAGACGATCGGCAACTTGTCGGACGCGTTCCAGTTCTTTGCACAGGTTTTCGGCGACCGCCATCGATTCGGCACAAGCTCTTCGCAGCAATTCGTTTTCTTCGTTTTTGATCCTCAGAGCGCCCAACAATTCGTGTACCGCTTGCCGGCAATATGCGATTTTAGCTTCATAGTTAACCGGCAACCGCCGGGCTAAATCGTCGACACTGTCGCACAAAGACCAACAGTCGGCTAACACGTTGGTCAACTTAACTGACTCTGAAGCATCGCTCTCGGCATTCAAATCACATTGGCAATGCTGCGAGATCTTGGGTGCGGATTCGTCGTCGGTTTGCGTTTGCTGACGGCACATAAGACCCTGACTAGCAGCTGTCGGCAAACAAGTCTGTACACAACCGTCGACCGTTGTTAGCGTTTCTGTCGGCGTACTTAGACCGGCACCGGTCACCGCATCATCCGTGTTTGACGATTGATCGCACACGCCCAAAGAAAGAGCCATTTGTTGTTGTGCCAACATTTTATTTTGTCTCACTACGTCTTCTACGAGTCTCATGTACTCGTCTTTGGAGTTCCTGTTGATCTCTACGGACGATTCTAGATCTTTAATCGTGCTGGCCTGCTGATCGATGTACAGCTGCTTTGTCTTGTATTCGCTATCCAATTTCAAGTAGTCTTCCAGTTGACGCGAGAGCTTTTTGTTGAGATATTCCAATTGTGTCTAAGAACAAACAAATTCACCACGCGTCATCTTAACGGGCTTCGCAAATAGTCGTAGGGTCGATAAATTAAAACTAAATCATAATTGGAATTAAACTAAAGTTCCAAATTCCAATTATGATTTTTTTTTTATCTCTGAACGTTTTGTCTACAATAAATTAAGTCAGAACCTGTTACGGTCAGAATTTTAAAACTCACGTTCTGTATCGATTGATGTCGCTGGTACTCTTTACACGATTCCTTTAGATCTTCCATGTGGTCTTCGAGCTCCATGATTTTCTCTTCCGCTTTCTGTTTGTCACTTTCGCTTGTAATTAGTTTCCATTGCAGCTGCTTATATCTCATGCAATATTCGTGCGACTTATTTTTCTCGTACACCAGTTGGTTAGACATCATACAATTCAATTGCGTTTGCATTTCTTGCGTTTTAATAAATTGTTCTAGTTCTTCTATACGGGTTTTCGTACCGGCTGGCTGTACGCTAATATTATTATACCAATCTCCCATAACCGTGTACAAGAACAAAAAAACTCGTTTTAAAAATATGTTAAAACCAAACATTTAGTCCAACTTTAAAGGTTTATCGCCAATCATTGGTTCCGTACGTACTATACTGATTTCGTATTTTTATCAATACGTTTATTTCCATAACATTGTTTTGCACGTCATTTTGGCCACTATATTCAATATTAGTACAACACAATTATAACTATATATTTTACTAGCTCTGGGCTACTAGACTCCGTCTGGGATAATAATATTTTGTTGTTATTTATTCATATATCCATTTTTTATATTGTGACTCCTGAAAAACTACATATTTACACACAGAACCTTTTGGTAATTCTGGAAACAGACGATTTGCGGTTAACAAAGCCGAATTGGGTGAGCCCTTGTTCTAATAATTATCTCTTTTTTATAAAACTTTAAAAAAAAATTATTTATGTGCTACGGTCAAGTTTAAAATTGCATAAACAGGTATGCAATAAGGTATGCAATGCCCTAACAGGAACAAAATCCACACAAAAATGCTATATTTGTGGCGCGACCCCAAAAGTCATGAACAATACAACACAAACTTTTCCCGAGGATATAATAGAAAACTATAGTTATGACTTGTCTCCGTTGCACGCCCTTATTAGGTCATTTGAATGTTTAATTCATATTGCTTACCGTTTAGATTTTCAAAAACGGCAGGTTAGAAAAGATAAAATAAATGAAAATATCATCATTGGTGATGACCCTGGCGATGATAATAAAGGAGAGGGAGAGTGTTAAAGTAACCAACAGATAATGAAAAGAAGAAAGAAAGAGATACAACATCAGTTTAAGATTCAATTGGGTCTCAACGTGGACAAACCAAAGCAAGGGTTTGGGTCCACCAACGACGGAAATACAGCAATATGCTTTTTCCGCAATTCAGAGATTTCCTCAAAAATCATGGGTATTGATGAAAGGCTAATAAATAGGTTTAGTGTAATTTTACAGACAGTGTCGTCTGGGTATGATATCAACTTGGGCAAATTCGAGAATTACGTGTCAGAAACGAGACAACTCTATTTAAACCTCTACTCGTGGTACCCGATGCCTGTAACAGTGCATAAATTACTGTATCACAGCTCGGAAATCGTAAAATATCATTTGGTTCCCCATCGGGATGTTGACTGAGGAGTCCCAAGAAGCTAGTAGAAATAAACATTTAAGGAATCTCAAAATGCATTATACGCAAAAAAAGTCACGTGCATCAACAAATCAAGATTTGATTAATATCCTTATGGTATCATCGGACCCAGTAATAGCTAGTTTTATGCGACCTACATAAAACAAAAACCATTACATTTGATTCAGAAGTACTGCAACTGTTGCAATGCTCTATGCCTGATTCATCACTATCCATTTCCCAATTATCATTGGATGACGAGAGATATGGCGATTACGAATGGCGATTCTGATAATTCAATTTTTTATTATTTTTCGAAATGCATTAACATTGCAAGAAACTAAATTTTGTTCCTTTTTTATCAAAAGCTTGTTTCATTTTGAGTTCAACTATAACTGTTATAAAAGTTTAATCAAAAAAGCTTTTTTAAAACTGTTTAATAAAAGTTCTAGCTTACAAAAGTTTTTACTTTTTTAATATCTATTTAAATGTCACATAAAAGTTTTTGTTAAACTATTAGATTTTCCCTCTAAAATAAAAATTATAATTATAAAAATATTCAATTATGAGTAGGATTCAATTAAATATTTTTATAAATAGGTACTTGGTTGCTTTTTCATAAACATGATTGTGTTCAAAAAATGTAACTGTCACTTATACAATACAATTATATTGATTATACTTATATTATATTGATATATTATTTTCAATTGTTTATTGAAATTAAAATTTTCAAACTATTTTAAAATATTTTTATATTAAATGCATAGTATAGTAAAGTTATTCTTAAGTTTTCTATTATGTATATGATTGATTAAATTTGCATATACGTTTACAATAAAAAAGTAAAATCATAATACTTTTTTCATCAAACAATATTCATGCAAATGGTTTATCATAACTGTTAAATAAATTGTTTTATAAACCTTGATAGAAAAGAAAAGTTCTAAAAATAACAGTTTTGAAATAACTATACATTTATTACGTTTCATACATCAACACTTAGTATACAAATTAAACATTTACTTATATTAATAACAGTTAACTGTTTCATTCGACCCCTGATGATTATGAATTATGATGTTTATTTTTACATCAATTGTGATGTCATATCACCGGGAGTTTCGCTTGTTGAATGTAGTATATACACATATTCTGTTTACTTAGTAAATATAACTTTTTTTTGTAATGATTGTATTAATTAATAGTCATTATAGTAGAAATTAATTTAGCAACCAAAAATACATACATCACACAGGTGTTTTAATCACATTGACTCATGTCTACGGTCGATTGTTGCCGGTTCAGTGGGAACCGGCGGCCGCCGTAATGACTAATAATTTCATAACAAACCCATCAAAAAAACTATTTATAGATTGCGTGCCGCGCGGACTACAATAATGATAAAAAAACATAATAAAATAAATCGGATATATTTTGTGGTTCGGAAAAATGGCCATATTATTTATTATTATTAATATATAATTATTATTTATTAGTTGCTAAACATTTTTAAGGGGAAACTCAGTTTCAAAGTCTCTTATGACGAGCCGCCACTGAATATAATATTTGAAAATAGTATTATACAAGTTAAAAAAAAAAGGTTTTTGTTACGTCTTGAGTTAATTATTGAGGGTTAGAATTTTAAATTGATAAAAAATAATACTTTTGCTGTAGGCAGTCAGAGAATATAATATGTATTTGTAGATAATATAAATTATGATTGTATAATATTTTAACAAGATCCCGTTTTGTGTGATTACACCAGCGCGCTTTAGTTCTTGTTATGAATCCCCCGTTGATTATTTATAATGAACCGATAGAAAGCACTACACTATACCTGTCAGTAGTCTTTATTTTGTTTCACATAATAATATTAAAAATATACGTTTTTTATATTTTATTATACCTAGTTAAACACTTCAAAACTGTTCTACTATTCGTAGACATCATTTGAATTCACATGCAACAGCCTCATAGTATTTGTAAAACCAACACCTTGTTTATTTCCACACATTTGTATTACTAAATCACCATTTTTCAATATTCCTTTGGTTTTACCCAAACTCATTGCAAACTTTGTGCGGGCTTCGATATCTTTTGACCATTCCATTTCCTGTGCCGCTAAAAAACGAATGAATACACACGATTAAGTACATTAAATTGTATTAACGCATTAGTTTTGAACAAGTAGTACATAACCAATTTTAAAAATACAATATTATTGTTGTTTTAATTGAAGAGTCCATATTTTGATTAATAGAAGCATTTAAAAATTAAACGTCACAGGCTATTTAATATACTATTTACCTAATTTAAATATTTTTAAAATTATTTTTGCCATCAACACTTCAACAGATACAGCAATAATACAACTGTTAAAATTAAATTTCGAACAATTAGTGTTGGAACCAGAACCCAGAAAAAATGGGAAAAAATCCGAACCAATCTTATTGAAGCGATGAGAATCAAACTCTTCGATTGAGTGATTTTAATACAGTTTAAAAGGAGTAAAATTGAAATTATGTTTTCAACATGTTGTTTATTAATTTTTTTCGATATCTCTTTTAAAATTTTAAAATATACACAGATAGCAAAAAGTCTTATTCTATGAATAAATCGTTGTATTCTAACAAAAATACATTTTGCACTTTAGCTATGAGGTATATTATCAATTTAACATGAACACTTTATTTTTCTTATGAAATTTATTTTACCTTTGATGTGGAGGATAAGGTATTTTTAATTTTTACCCTTTACTAAATGTGTATACCTACAAATATTCACGAAAACCACGGTTTAAAAAATGCGATATATTTTGTTTGTGAAACTCACTCAAGAAGTGAACCGTAATTAGATTGCGCCATACTGATAACTTTCTAGCGGCTTTTCCCTGTTTGATGATCGCTATTATCGGACACCGCGGACGGTATCTGGCAATAGTCCGAGCTGACAGGCCGGAAGTGGAGATGACTACAATTGCTTTTGCGTAGCATTTCAGCGACACCTCGACACAGCCGATACTGAACGCGTGAGCGGGGTCGACTTTCGGTTTGGACTGGGGTGTGCACGAAAAAGGTAAATTTAACCGATGGACTATGTCAACGAGTATCGACTGATCGAATGACAAACGTGAAGGCAAACCTTGTGATTTAACTCGTTGAACAGCTGTTGTTCCCAAATGGCGGATTCTGCTCGACGGCACACGTGAGACAGATATTCAATACAGTGCACTTGAAAGCTACTGCGCACTGTGACGTCTAAGTAAATGGCGTCGGTCACGTCGAGTACGGTGTTGATGACGTCGTTGACTTCGGAGCTCGAGGGGATCGACATGTTCTCCATCGAAGACAAAAACGAACCGTGAGTGATGGTCGGCTTGCCCACCTGTAACGCGGAGACAGTTTTTGTTTTGTTATATCCAAAGGGACGGTCCGATGACGTGATCGTATACTATGTTGCATTTAGACAAAATAATCTTCTGAGCAATGAATATCTTGTCGTGGCCTATTTCCATAGATAGACTAGGTAAGTCGAGGAACACTCCGTCAACGATTGGCAAAATTTCGTCGATGTTTTCCAGCCCAATACTGTTGTCGATTTTGGCGTAAAAATCAATGTCCAAGCCTTTTTCGAGGCCTATCTCAAAAAAGCGTAATTAAATTTGCTAAACTAGCAACAGCTGGTAATTTTCAGGCCAAGAATTTTCAATGAGCACAATAGTCGACAGTAGCCTGCCACCAAATAGGAGTCGGCAGACTATGTAAACAGATAGTTTTAGTTCTAGTCAAAAAAGGGTCTGGAAGTTTCACCAGAGGGGTCAAGGGTTAAAAGGCATTCAACTACCCTTACCCCCTTCCTACTACCGTAAATGTAGTCAATAACTACAGTTTTACCTTGCTCATAGGCGCTTATGATGATTATTTTGAAATTACAGAACTCTAATAATAAAATCAACATTTCATTATGATGTCTTGAGCTGCGAGAGCGAAACCCCTACCAGTGTAAAGGGCCTTGCAAAGCACATTTTGAGTTACCCATTGCCAAGTCTCTATGTGTGACACGTTATGCTATTCTCCTTCATCTCATTTCACACAATTCTCTGCTTTCCAAATTTTCTCTGTCTGGCAATCCACTCCACCAGCTGCAATTCTTCATTATTAATAAATGAATTACTTTCACTTCTTAACGTCTATCCCTATAGGTATCCTCTATCGGCGTGGTTCCTTCCTTTGATTTACAATATATATTGACTAAACAAAAGGCCATCTCTGACGTCTATCCCGATGCCACTTAACATTATATTGTATAACTTATATTGTACTCACGGACGAAATCTTTTATTCGGTTGACAAAGGCGGCGTCCCTAACGCCAGGGATGAGTATTACGTCGATTTTGTGTTGTATGGCCGTGCGGACGCGTTCCTCGTCGTCCTCGGTAAGTACAGCTGGTATCGGTATTCCCGGTATGTGCACAACTCTTTTGGATCCCAGGACTTCGCCTCGTTTGATCAGACAGTGCAACTCTTCGTTCTCTGCGCACGCAACAAGTCGCATTATTGCACAAGTTACTAGTATAATATTGGTGGCAAACACCACACAGCAACTCGGTCCTCACCAACTTTCTGTACGACCAATTCGATCTTGCCGTAGTCCAGGTATATAGGGTCGCCTTGCTTCAATCGCATAATATTTTCAGCACCAACGTAAATCCGATCCGGCGAGCACATTTCCCTGTACTGGACGTCGTTGGTGACGTACACATACTCGTTGGTCGATAATCTTATCGTCGATTGATTTGGCTAAGCATTAACGACATAATAATAATATAGGACACGAGGGGTCGTGAAAACTTTACATATATTTTATATTCATTTAGGTACCTATCATAGTGCTTAAAATATATATATATATATACAGGGTGATCCAACTAACGTAAGACACTCATTTTCTCTGAAAGTATGAATATTTTGCGAATTTTTTTTTTCCTAAAATTTTAGGTACATATTTAGCTACATTTTTCAATATTTAGAAAAATTTTATCTTCAACCCTTATACGTTAAATAAGTACGAACCTCGTTTTTTCAAATGGAAACATATGTTTTAAACTCCATAAATATAAAGACAAAAAATCTAAAAAAATGTTAGCGTTTGAATTTTTAATTTTCATCCATTTGTTCGCTGTTTATGACTTTGTAAAGATTTGAATTTTTGTCTATATTTCTTAATAATTTCATTCGATTCGACAAAGACAAGTAGTTTTATTACGACGGTCATCACATCAAATATAATAATAATTTGATGTTAACGCATTCCGTATCATAATCAGATATAATAAATAACCATACATTATTAGACGAAAGGTAGACTGTTACGGATAACGGACTTTACACTTTAACCTAATCTAGCTGGAGCTAGTCATTAGCTGGTTATCTCGGATAAAAATCTAGTATCTAAACTATGCATCAGTTACCACGGAATAATCGAGTGACCAGTACCCATAATATATTTTATTATTTGTACAAAATCGCATTATATTTATTATTTGTACATAACCTCATCGCCAACAAATTTCGACTTCGAAGTTCACACGTTTTCCATTAGTGAAATGAGAAATTGCAAACTTAATTAAAAAATGTTAGTAAATTTACATTTTACTTTATAGTAAATATGATAGCATGCTTATTGTAGTTATGTCATAACTCGTTATTTTATAATTTTTTAAATATATCAATTGATAATATTTGCTCTCGACTTTATTTTGACGTTACATTCTTGGACACACCATTAATTTAATAGGTAAGTGTATTAAAGTTTAATAGATAATTTAATACAATACGAATTCAATTAGCTTTTTTATTTTAGGTTGAATGCTTTTTTCCGAAAATCTTTTATCATTTAAAAATCAATGTTATCATGTCAGAAATATCTATGGCGTTGAGAATAGGCTATACCAATTACTATGGAAATGTCTTTTCAATTGGACCCAAGACTGAAGACCTTACAATTTTATATCAAGGTGTAAATTATAAATATAAAGCATTAATTTAATAGGTAAGTTTATTAGAGTTTAATGGGTAATTTAATTCAATACGATTTCAATTAGCTTTTTTAATTTAGGTTGAATGCTTTTTTACTGAAAATATTTCATCTTTTAAAAACCAATGTTATCATGTAAAATTGGTTTTGAGTATGACATATCAATTGCTATGGAAATGTCTTTCCAATCAGACCCAAGACCTTACAATTATATATCAAGGTGTAAATTATAAGTATAAAACATTTATTTCTAATGTGACATTTTTTCATGTGAATGTATAATATCAACACTAAGCAATTTGAATGAAAAGTGTGTTGTGTTAACTTAAAATAATTATTTATGCATGTATTTGTGTATGTGGGTTGATAATACTCATATACCCGTTTCATTTATTTTTAAAAATATCAGTAATTAATGTATGAATTTCATAATACTACATACAAGGAATCGCTTCTTGATTATACCAATATTTATAATAATATGTAAGTATATTATTTTTATTTGATTAAACTTATCTAAGGTAGTTCAAATGTCTGCTTTCAGTTTAGTTATTTCTTACAATGATATAACCCATATATTGTGTGTCTGACATACATTACGGATATTTTATCATAAAGTTTTAGCTATAACTGACACAGGTATTTGGCTATCAAAGTTAAATTTTATATCAAATTTATTAATATACAATAATTCTCTCTTTAAAAAAGTAGTAATTCTATTAATTTGTATTTAATGAATTCAGTAAATCAAGTAAATTATTTTTTAGAACTTGCCTAAGATAATTCTTATAGTTAATTTTATTTATTGAATTTTGATTTTGTTAGATTTGTTTAATTACCAACGATTGTTAAAAGAAAAAAATTTAAATCAGTATTATAGAAGTTGAACAATTTCAAATGTATAGATATTGTTTTTGTTTAATATTTTTGATTGAATATTTTCAAAAAAGTAACATTTGTAATTTTTAAATTTATTGTTGTATTAATAATTAGTTTATGAATATTTTATTAGTTAAATACTTATATTATCAGACAAAAGATTATTATTGTTCTTTAAATGTTATACTATACTATATATTTGTCGTTGAAATTTATCAACACAATTGTTTGACTATGTGTTATCAATGTTCAAATTTTGTAAACTACACAGTAAAAATTAATAAAAATTATTTTTAACTCTTTAAAGTAGGAAAATTGTCGCATACGCATTACAGCAAATATTCTTTTAACCATTATTTGCATCATTAAAGGTAAACAAATTTTATTTTTAACAACTATGCATTATAAGTTAGTATAATTGATTTTATAATTATTTGTATTCATACATAAATATAGTATACATGTATGTATGTGTATAAAATCAGACAAACTTGTCGCGTACAAATTCCATAAAATTTAAATCCTTAAAAATGTGTTTTATTACAGAATAATTGTTAAATTTAGATACTACAATTTAGCTAAGGCTATTTTTGATTTAATATTGCCACTTTTACATAATCTTAGTAAAACGTACCCGTTATAATAGTTTAATAATGTCAATACTTTAATTTGTATAGTAAACAAGGAAATATCAAATAATGGTTTTCTTTTTAAACAACTAAAATCTATTAAGCTTTTAATTTTCTAGATATTAAATAGTGAAGAAAATAATAAAAATAAGAAAATACTGATTATACGGAAAATCAAAATAGCAGATTCAACTGTAAAAGAATTCACTTTTCAATTTGAAATTTTTGAAACAGACATATTTTATTATAAAGGCTCAAGAATCACTATTATTATAACATTATACACCTTATAAGTTATAATAATAATTAGTAAGTACTAATAAAAAGATAAGACCATATAAACTATTTAATTTAATAGTTATTAATAAAATAAAAGAGACAAGTTCTGATAATTTAATGTTTGCGTGACACAAACCCTAACTTTATTTCTGAAGTTTGAGTATCACTGTGTGATTTTGTGTAATTGAGTCACAAACTATTGATCCATATTTTTATTAACGGGATCTAAATAAGAAATAACTTGACTTAAAAAAAAATGAAATATCAATGATGTTGAAAAATTTACCGTTACAGAAAAATCAAATCTTTTTTGCCAACAAGATGGGGAAAACAGAAAAAAAAGTAAAAGTATTTTGAATCACAGTTTGGAACTACCGGCTTAAATTAAGTTGATAATTAATACAATTTCAAACTTAACTGTGATTTTGTTGTAGGTTCCTAAAACACTGTTTACAAACATCTAGTCTTTAGACAACTTAATCATTTAAACACAGTCCACTTTATTGCATTACTTTTTATTAATAAAGTTGTTTTTATAATAAAAAAAAGTTAGTTATAAATGTAAAATAAGCAACATTTTAAATATTTACTGTAGAATTAAAATAGTAAGCAAATTAAATCCAAAATTCCTTATTTAGTGTAAATTGTTTAAAACAATTATTTGAGCACAGAACATATTTTGAATAAATTGAACATAACTAAACAAATAATAGTAACGCTTCGCAACGCGTGTCCATTCAATGTATGTACTTATGAGATTGTAAGCCAAATTTTAAAGCTATTGTTTACTACCTATAAAAACTAAAAATTATAATTTTCAAATAGCATAACAATGATCTGTTGTACTGTGCTGTTACTTGTTGAATGTAGAACATAGATAGTAGAAAAATATGATAACTAATGATAATAATATTTTGTATTATCATCATAGCAGCAGTTATCAACCTACTTGTACCACGGTTTTTGATTGTTGTGGTTAAATAGCCATTCGTTAGCTGCTGTCAATATAGGTCTGTCAACCTACCTGTCATGACGGTGTGTTAGAAAAGTCGGTAATCTATAAATATGAAACGCTGGTCAAACAAAATATCACAAAACATTTTATTGTGTTTGGTTATCTGTGTACTCATCTATCGGACAATGCGATCATAAATAAGTATTTTATTGGCTCCCGGTCTTTGGAAAACCAAAGAAATATAACAATATTTAAGAGAAAATGTAATATCTTTACAAAGTCATAGCTAACGACTAAATGGATAAAAATTAAAAATTCAAACGCTAACATTTTTTTAGATTTTTTGTCTTTATATTTATGGAATTTAAAACATATGTTCCCATTTGAAAAAACGAGGTTCGTACTTATTTAACGTATAAGGGTTGAAGATAAAATTTTTCTAAATATTGAAAAATGTAGCTAAATATGTACCTAAAATTTTAGGGAAAAAAAAATTCGCAAAATATTCATACTTTCAGAGAAAATGAGTGTCTTACGTTAGTTGGATCACCCTGTATATATATATATTTTATTTAGTTTAAAACAGTTAAAACGATTCGGGAACGCGAAATAAAAAGCAAATATGTTCAGACTGTGATAACATGATATTATAGTTGGGTTACTACAGCCTTAGAGGTAAATCGGGTAAAGAAGTCTACTTAGAATATTCACGCCTAATTGTTATAAAAGGCTACCTTCAGTTTGGTCTAATTGCTCCTATTGCATTGCAATTACTATAAAAATACTAACACATTATTATACAAAATTGCAACTATATATAACCTTGTACGCGTACTTGAGTTTTAAGTATGTTGCCTGTGAATATTTTTTGTCCTTCCAAATTCAGTACGATGGCCAACGAGTAGGGTATACGATTGATTTTCAAACTGTAGTTGAAAACGCCTTGGCGGATTTCGAAAATCATTTTCTGGCACTCTTTGTTGGATAGTTCGTTGAACCACACGACGATCATGGACACGCCTCTCTCGCAGAACTTTGCTACTACTTCTTTAGTTATACTAGACGCTGTGTGCAACAGGGTAATTAAATTAAACAGGTGACAACAACTGATTACGGTTCTAAGTCAACCGTACGCACAAACAGCACAGGCCATCGTAGTGAGTGTATGTGGGGAAGGTGTCGAATTTGTTTTCAAATTGCTCATGTGATCCAGATAATTGTTTTCAAAGGTAGCCTTTGTTTCCGTGCTGTTGTCATTGTTGCAAAACGAAACCTGATTGCATTCCAATATTTGATTTAAAGTATTTGATTCGTATGTACAGTGTACTTATAGTGTATCCTCACCAAAGACAACGCGGGACGAGGTTCTCCGTTTTCCATTTTGCACAAAAACAATAATTTTTAAAATAAATGTTTTTGATTAAACGATTAAGATTTTACACGGATATTACAATTTATGATTAATATTAAACGAGTATTTTTAAAACAAATTAATTGAAAATAATCTATAGATTGGTATCAATAAAAATAATTATCAAATTTCGTATCCTAGCGAAGAGTAATAATTACCTACTGTTTTAAAAAAAATCATATCAAATTTCTAATTTTAAGAGAAAACTGTTGTTATTTCATTATTTGAAATTATTAAATTAAAAAAAAAAATTGTGGCCGGACTTTCAATAATATCGCTCAAAAAAATGGTCTCAAAGAAATAATGAAAACATTAAATTAATGGTATCATAAGCTTCTACTTTGATAACTATCTACAAAAAACACATTGTAGTACGTATTTATCACATTTTTGAAAACAGTTATTGTTAAAATACATAACTTTCAACAGTCTTTAACCCTCACATAGTCTTGTGTTTTATAATCAACATAAAATAAAAATAATAATAAAATACAAAATTCAACAGTTATAAATAAAAAATGAATAATACCTAATTATAAAATTATAAAAAAATATCAAATTCAGAGTACGTAATTTATTTCTCTCAAATAAATCACCTATTATGCATCAATCATATTTTATGTTACTTATGAATTTACCATTAAATTCAAATTGCTTAAGTTAATTTCAAATAATAAATATGATTGCTGTATTTTAGTGTGACCCTACAACCTTTGGTGAAGGGAGGATTCTTAAAACATCCTTATAGAAACAGATGCTAAATCAGGGACATCGGGCATGTGAAACTTTTCAAATGTTTTTCTGTAACTTCTTAAGAATGATACTTCTACATCAGTTTCTTTTGATTATTTTTCCTATATAAAAAATAGTGCTTTCTTTAGATGTTTTAAACTGAACTAAAAAATAGTCTTCTTCTTTTGGATCCTTGGCTAGTTCCTCATAGGTAGCGAGATCTTCATAATTTATCTCATCTTCGGATATAAGGACAATTGGAGTAATTTTTCCACATATATCTTCTTCATCTGAAGATAATTCAAGGTCATTGTTAGTTGTAGTCAATTGTTTGTTTTTTGTTGTTATCTGATTTTCTTCATCTCTAGTTACTTTAGTTTTTTGTTTAATTCCTTTTGAAAATAGATTTTTTTTTACTTCTTTCCCATGAATACTTTTAATTAAATTTTTTTCTTCGATTGCACTTTTTTTCTGGGATATCAGTTAAAATGGTACTTTTACCTTTTCGGCGATTGTTTACCTTAGTTTTTCGTGCCTTTGCTTTTGGATATCCTCTTAGGGTTCTTCAGGGCTTATAAAAGCTTTATCAGTTGAAATATTATTAGGATTTATATTGGTTAAATTAGGATTTGTTGTGTCATAATTTATTATCACCAATCCTCCTGGCCTGTCCGTAAACGCTAAAATTCTGCGCACCGGTTCCTATAGTAAGTATTATACAATGAGATAACAAAAGAATTTTTTGTAAAAATTAATATTTTTTTGATTAGTTTTTTTTTAACCCCAAGCATTTTATATACATAATAATAAATTAATTTTTTGGATTTATGAGCGTTTTAAAAGTTTATAGCTGTGATTGCCGGAGAGATGGCGGCTTCTTTTTACCAGACGATTTTTTGGCCGGCAACAGTGAGTGCCAAACACACTAATGCCTTACCCACTCTGTCATTTCCTCTCCACTATGTACAAATGTAAATTAATTATTTTTTAAATAACTATTTTCTCATTTTCGAGGATATATTAGGTATTGTTTTTAGTAATTAACTATTAATTATTATCAAGCATCTTTATTTCATATAGATGTACCCATTTCACTTTTATGTTAGTACTGAGAGAAAATAAAACAAAATCAAATTGTTTTTTTCTTTTGTTAGTATTACAACTGGGGCAGGGGGAGGCTTCTGTACAATAATTATGAATCTTTATTAATTTAGGTAAAATTAATGAATATTATCATATCCATAATAATACAAAGTGATTTGAAAAACCCGTTTTCTAGGATTTGCTGCAGTACTAAACACTTACGGTTCATCCACTGGTTCTCGAAGTAATTGATATATCGACGAGCTATTTGTTGGTTTTCCGCGTGACTACTCTCTTTTTTAATCAGATTATGTACCCTCAGCTATGTGCTCGACCGGTAAAAGGGCCAGAGCCTTCGACATGCGGAACGTGTTATGCAACGGCAAGTCGTTACGATATTCACGTCGCCGCATGCCAAACTCTTTACCATTTTTCTCGAGTGCCTATAAATTACCATAAACATTTTTAAATGGCAACACGCGACGCTATAATTTTATAGCACCGGAAATGATGAGAGAATTATTAAAAACATTTTTCATACTTGAACCATGTGGAACCAACAGCGCTGCAGGTTGGCAGCTGGCAGAGTATTCCTCGGTGCATTGGTTAATGCGATTTCATAGTCAGTAATGACGTTTGTTGCTTGAATACCGCCTGGAATAAAATCCCTTATGTATCCAAGAACGCACCGGTACGCGACCTCGGTCTTCCTTGTCATCAACACAAATGCAACCGGAAAAGCCTTAGTACACGTATAAATAAAAATGTTAATCGTAAACTCATAAAAATGGTTTTTTTAATTTATTATATATTTTCTATTACCTGATCCATGTAAATAGCCATAATAATTAAAACTTGTTCAGTTTGAGGCTGAATAGGGCTCGATTTGAACGTGCCATCTACATGTAACTCATGTGAACTGCCTGATTAACTAAAATTACATTTAAGCTATAATATTGTCTATAAAAAAAAAATCATCTAGGTAAGCAATTATATATTCTAATTTGTGAAAATGGTATAAGACTATTTGCTATTGGACCAAAATTAAATATGCTGCTGTTCTTGTCCACAAAATATTACAAGCAGCTATCTGAGCGCACAGTAGTGCGCTAGGCCAAGTTTCAGTAATGCCAGTTTATCTTTACACGAACCAATTCACCCAGTTTTTCTAACCCACATATCTCTGTTTCCTCTTTAGATAAGCCTTTGAAATGTAAATATCACTACTTTGATATTTAGCCTTGGAACTTGGCCAATTTTCTCTGTTGGGTTTTTGTTGGAGATAATTTATAATAGATAATTGAAAGAAATTAATTTATACAAATTTTTATCGTTTTTCTTTAAAATAAGTTGTATTTTTTAAAAATAATTAAGAAATATGTTTTTGGGACAAAAGGCAATGTTTTCTTTGTAACACATATTTTTTCATTGTTAGTTAAATTATTACTTCGTCATTGCAGGCGAAATGAAAACCACTGCTTCGCCAGCTTCTACACCTCCATCTATGTAGCCCCTATACAACTCCTCGTTGCTAAACGTTACAAATAGATGGCGGTACCTTAGGTCGGACAAATTGCCCGCATATCCCAAGAGAGTCTGGGGTATCGATGGCTGAGCCTCGGCCCTGGCCCGTTCCATTATTCTCAAGAAGCTTATGTACGCCAATTGATTGTTAACGTGGTTTAATCTAAGTATAGAATATGTAAGTCTTAAACTATTTAATAATTATGCTTATGCTGAGCTGATTGATTTGAAAACTTAATTTTAATATTAAGTGTACTTATATTTAAAAACGATAGGACTGTCATTAAGTATTAAATACTTTCTGTTCAATAATAATAAAACAAATTTTGTTTTATTATTATTGAACAGAAAGGTTTACGAAATACCTTTATAGGTATACAGTCATTGAGTGTTCTATGGAAATATGCTAATTAGATGTATAAAATAACTTTTTAATATGCATTTTAATGACCACAAGCGTTTGCGGACTTCAATTACAGGGTAGGCAATATATAATGTTATTTTTAAATGTAGGGACATCGCCCCAGCGCATCGTTCCTTCTGTTGTATAGAAACAATAACTTCCTTGAAACATAATAAAAAAAAACCTTGTCTTTTTAGTAGTTTGTAAATAATTAATAATAATAGTCTAAAACTCTTACAACATGCTTATATTAAGCTACTTCTATTAAATTAAGAGGAAAATACAGACATTTTAAAATGAACACAGTTTACAGCATGACTTAGTTTTCAAAAGTGTACTAAGACGTACATCTATTTTATCAATTTACTGATTCAAAATATACTTAAATTATAATTAACTACGCAATTATTTACGCCTATTTAGGTTCAAAAATTTTTTACGCTTGCTAGGTTTTTTAATTACAAATATATTATGAAAATAACTTATGGATAAATTAAACGATCACAGATCACTATGCAATAAAATAGGTCGTAAGTGAGGCAGCTCAGCTGCCACAGTTGCCTCCGTCTGTGTTTGTGAGACATCAAGTTTTAAATACGATTAATCAGCTCAGTTAAAATTATGTAATAAATATATTGCCGTCATTGATATTAATTTTTAAATTATTAAGAAAGGTAGGTATTACTGTGCTATTTCTTCATTATAAATGACTTTTAGGGCCGTCAATTTTGTAGCACATCGATGAAGAATTTGGCTTTTTACACGAACAGCGGACAAATATTCCATGTCAGGATCATGATTATGAAGTCCGATCACTTCACATCTATCATTCCTAATAAGTCCTTTATATAATAAAAAGAAATACAATATTGTGTCAAGAAGAGTTTCATGTTATAAACTGTTTTCAGCCTTTAAGAGAATTGAAAGCGGACTGGTTTTTTCGAAGTCTTAGACCTAAAATCCTGACAAAATTACGCCTACGTAGAATGTCCGATTTGAGTTTTATATAAAAAATGTCAAGTTTATCGGCCTCTTTTCAAAGTTATTGTGTAAATAACAATTTATTATTTCAATTAAAATTGTGTTTAAATCCTATTTTAATTTTTTAAGTTTTTAGTATCCTATATATTGTTTTATTAATCCGACTTCCACGGTAACCTAGGGAAAAAGCTCATGAGCTCAAATATTTATACAGAATTAAAATCCAATCATATTAAGTATGCTAATTAATTTCTTGTAGGTACAAAATGGCATTTACTCGGAGAATAAATTGTAAGGTTATTTTTACAAAGTAACCTGAAACTAAATAAAATGATCGAAAAGTTGCTTTTTTCTTAAATATTGCCTTTTATAAAACCCCTTAAAAACCGTCCGCTTTCAATCCCTTTAATCATTGTTATGTTATATACCAAATCAGATTATAAAAAAATATTATGAATATAAATACTAATTGCCACAAAATATTCATGAAAATTAACCCATTGATCAATTTTTGTAAATTATAATATTAATATCTATAAATTGTACTAGGGCAACTCATGGTGCTGGCCTTTTTCTTTGGAAAATAGTGTTATTTGCTAAAAAAATCAAATAAAACGATTTTTATTTCAAGCCTTTTAAAAGATATTTTTCTATTTAAGTGGAGTATTACCTAATAAAAAAAATCTTTTGTTGAGTTATACTTAAATGGTACACTGCTTTATTGTGTATTCGTAAAATAAGTACGATTACATCTAACTACTAACTACTTCAGTATTCCATTTACAATCGGGTTACAAATAATTCATATTGAAAAAAAAGATTAATTTGCTAAAATAATATATAGCAATAAATCATACCTCTCGCAGTGCAGTTAGGTTTTATACAACTTAGTGAGGTAGACGATAGTCTAACTTTCTTTACGCGATAAAAAAAGCCATCGTTAAAATGATGCAGCTTACTATTTTTACAAAACCCGTCGACAACTTCGTGTTCCATTATTAACAAACGAAAAGTACAAAAAAAAAAATAGGACAGATGTGTTGTCTGAGCTCTCGATAAAAACCGAATGAACCCAATGTAAGTATGAACTTGATTGGTTAGTTGGTACTTATTTTTTTTTAAATCTATAAATAATTCTAACATTTTTTGTTATTAATATTTATATAAAATATATATGTGTATAGGGAGGGACAGAAGATGGAAAAAGAGCTATAAATATATATATATAGGTATAAATAAGTAGGTATGTATGTTGTACATAGTATACAGAACGTACAAAGAAGTACCCAAAAATTATTA